CCCCAAGAATGCTGGCTGGAGGGAGGGGCAGGGACCTTCTGGAAGGTGATGCAGAGGAACCGAGTCATGATGTCTGGTTTCAACTGCTGCTCCTGGGTCTGGAGGGGAGACAGGAGCAGGTATGAGATGGGGGAGGAAATGGGGAGATGCAGCCAGCTTTGGAGGAGATGCAGCCAGCTCTGGGGTGGAACAGCTAGGGAATGGATGAGTATAATGCCATTCAGAGAAGGCTTAAGATGTGTCCAACCCTAAGATGGGGTAGCTAGGGTATGGCTGAGTGTAACATTGCATTTGGAGGGCTGAAATATAGTCAGTTCTGGGGAGAGAGGCTGGAGAATGGCTGAGCATAATGCCACTCCAAGAGGGCTGAGATGCAGACAGCTCTGAGGAGGGTGGTTGGGATATATAACAGTACATAGGGAGGGCTAAGATGCAGTTGGCTCTGGGGTGCAACCACTAGGGAATGCCTGAGTATAACAAGGGCCTGCTGGTGCTGAGATGTAGCCAGCCCTGGGGTGAAGCACTGAGGAGCAGCGGAGTATAAGGCCACTCCAAGAAGGCTGAGAGGTGGCTGGCTCAGGGGAAGGGCACTGTTTGGGCAGGAAATGGCTGGGGAGTACCTGGGTGATGCAGAAGGGCCCCAGCTGCAGTGGCTCATTCTCCAGAGGCCAGTAGCGCTCACACTTTTTCTGTGGGGGGGAACATCAGTCACCAGGAGAGGGGAGATGCCCCTCACAACCCCTCGGAGAAGAGGGAGAGCAGGGGGAGGGAGGGGATCTCCCCAGAGCCCCACAACTCACCCGGCCCATCTCCACCTCCCGGCAGGCCATGATGATCACCTGGAGAGGAAGGAACAGCAGTGGGTGGAACCCAGGCATCTAGGCTTCCAGCCCTCACTCTCTTACCCACTAGGCCCCACTTGCCTCCCAGAGAAACTAGGTGTCCCGGTCCCACTACCTTCACCCGGTACTGCCACACCATCCTCCAGAAGTCCAGCAGGGTGTGAGGTAGTGGCCCCTGTGTAGCAATGTAGCACCTCTGGGTCCCAGCCCCCTGTTGGGGATAGATGGGGGATAGAATGAGTGTCTCTTGTTCTTCAGCCCCTCCCTCTTGCCCCCATCTGCCTCCCTCCCATCCCCAGGGGTACCTTGATGAAGTTGGCGTTGATGTAGTCGCCCTGCCCCTCCTCTGTCCGCAGCGTCAGCACCACCCGCGTCTGGTCATCTGGGAGTGAGGAACAGAGGGGTGAGTGTGCTCATTTCTGGGGCACTGTGAGGCACATGGGGAGGTCAAGAGGTGGCAGCTCTGGGGTGGCACAGCTGGGAACAGCCAAGTATAACAGCACAGCAAAGACTGAAATGCAGGCAGCTCCGGGGTGGGGTGGGTGAGGATGGACAAGTATAATAGTACAGGGGGAGGCGAAGATGCAGCTAGCTCTGGGTATGAGCAGATGGGAATGACTTAGTATAACACAGCACTGGGAGGGCTGAGATACAGCTAGCTCTGGGATGGGAGTAGCTGGGAATGGCTGAGTATTATACTCAGCCATGGGAAGATCTTGCTTGGTGTCAAGATGCAGTATAACAACACATGGGGAGGCTGAGAGGCAGCCAGCTCTGGGGTGGAACTGATGGGAACAGCCAAGTAAAACACAGCCCAGGGAAGATTAAGATGCGGCTGGCTCTGGGATGGGGTGGCCTGGGACAGCTGAGTATAACACTCCATGGGCGCCTAGATCTTGGGTGGAGCAGCTGGGTAATAGCTGAGTACAACAGCACATGGAGAGGCCAAGCTGTGACCAGCTCTGGAGTGGGGCAGCTGAAACTGGCTGAGTATAACACAGCACTGGGAGGGCTGAGATGCAGCTAGCTGTGGGGTGGGACAGGTGGAACTAGCTGAGTATAACAACACTGGGAGGGACAAAAGAAAGCCAGCTCTGGGGGTGGGATGGCTGGGGAACAGCTAAGTATAATGCTCTATGGGAAAAGCTTGCTTGGTGCCAAGATGCAGCCAGCCCTGGGGTGGAGTGGCTGCAGACAGCCGAGTAAAACAACACATGGGGAGGCTGAGAGGCAGCCAGCTCTGTGATGGGACAAGTGGAACTGGTTGAGTAAAACATAGCACTAGGAGGCCCAAGATGTAGCCAGCTCTGGAGTGGAACAGATGGGAATGGCTGAGTATATATAGCCCAACATGGGGAAGACTGAAATGCTGTCAGCACTGAGGTGGAACAGCTGGCCTGGCTCTGAGGCAGCCAGCCAGCTCTGAGGCAGAGCCCTGGGGAACAGCCACTTATAACAGACAGCCCCTCCTCTGAGAGGGGGGGTTGGACCCCAGCCCAAATGCTTGGGTCCCCCTACCACTCACAGGGCAGAATGTCCTTGTAGCGGTTCTTTTTGATGTTGTCCCGTGCAGCGCCGGCATCTGTGCTGTATCCTGCTTGCTGCCGGAAGGCCCAGGCCCGCTCCTTGATCTCCTGTGGGGGGAAGAAGGGGAGTAGTTAGCAGGCCCTAGAGTGGATGGGGTTAATGGGGCAGGGTAGCCAGGCTCAAGATGCAGCCAGCTCTGCAATGGAATGGCTGAGTATATAACGTGGGTAGAAGCACCCAGCTCTGAGTTGGAACAACTGAGCATAATCCATGGGGAGATACAGCCAGCTCTGGGGTGGGGAACAGCTGAGTAGAACATATGGTGAGATGCACCCAGCTCTGGGGTGGAACAGCTGGGGAATGGCTGAATATAATGTCTGGGCAGATGCAACCAGCTCTGTGATGGAAAAGTTGTGTATATCACCACACAGCACCCCCCTCCCCAGCCCTCATTGCCCTCCCAGAGCAGGAAAAAAAATCTAGGCTCCCAGGCTTTGTCCATTCCCCCACCGCTGGGCTCTACCCCAGAGATGGCTGCATCCCTGACACAAAGGCAGCCATTGTTCTGCAGGTTACAGGGCAGGTGATGATAAGGGAGGTATCTGCATAAGGGGGTGTGGCTTGGAGGACTATTTTACATATAGGAGGAGCCAGATTATATATTTGCATGAAGGGTAGGAACCTCTGCTGCCTTCTGCCACCTATGGGCAGGGGGTGGGGAACTCAGATGCCTGGGTTCTCTGGGTGGGAGGAAGGCTGGGGGATGAGAGCCTGGATTCTTTGGAGGGGTAGGGAGTAAGAATGGGGGGTGGAGGTTGTGTGCCCAGATGCCTGAGTCCCTGGCAGGCTGTGAATGCAGAACTGAGAGTGGGGGGCTGGGCTGTGGGTTCTGCGTTCTCTCTGCAGTGGTTTCAGCTGGGGCCTCGGGCTCGGTGTTGAAGTCCTGGCTTGACGGGGGAGCCCCTGGGGCAGTGCTCGCCTGGAGATGCAGCCAGCTCTGGGGTGGCATGGCTGAGAAACAGCCAAGTATAACAGGGCACTGGGAAGGCCAAGATGCATCCAGTGCTGGGGTGGAACAGCTGCATATAACACCCCAATGGGAAGGCTAATATGTGCTGAGATGCAGACACCTCTGGGGTGGGGCAGTGGGGCAACAGCTGAGTATAGTGCCCCCCTCACCATACACACAGCCCAGCATCCTCTAGTATTCTGCTGGGCTGCACTTTAGGTGGGGCATGGCTCTCACCTCCCCAAACCCCACTCCCCTTAGAACAGGGAGAGAACTCAGATGTTCGGGCTCCCAGTCCCCCTGCTTGTACCCTCCAGCCCCCAATCATCTCCCAGGAAACCCAGGTGCCTGGTCTCCCAACCCCCTAGCTCTAACCTAGCAGAAGCCCCATCTAGAGACAGAACCCAGGTGAATGGGCTGTTAGTTCCCCCAGACTCTAATCCTTCCCCCCAGCCCCACTCCCAAAGCCTCCTAGAGCAGATTGGGAACCCAGGTGTCCCAGGTTCCCAGCCCCTCCCCTTCCCTCTCCACCCCTTCTGCCTCACCTGGAACTCCTTTTCGAGCAGCCCAGGATTAGGGCACACCCGGCACTGCAGGAAGGCCTGGAGGGGCCCCACAGGGGAGGCCATGGCTGGAGTTGGGGAGGCTCTGGGGCTGCCTGGACAGATGGACAGACCGGTAGACGCCCAGCACAGCGATGAGGAAGTCCTGCTCCCCGCCCTGCTGGGATGGGCCCAAGCATGGCCTGGCAGCCTGCCAGGAGGGCGGGAACCCTGGTGTCAGGGCAGGGGGAGGAGGGGGGTGTCACTCACCCCCCCCCCCCCCCCCCCGGCCATCAAGCTGCCCCACCTTAGAGCTAGGTGCATTTCAGCCTTCCCTGTGCCCTGTTATACTGCACCAGTCCCAGCCACCCCTCACCCAGAGCTGGCTAAGTTTCCCCTTATATGACTGTTCCCCAGCTGTTCCAACCTAGAGCTGGCCGCATCTTGGCCTTCACCATGTAGTGTTATATTTGGCTGTTGTCATCAGTTCCACCCCGGAGCTGGCTGCATCTCCCCATATGTCATACTCTGCAAGGCTAGCTGCCCCAACCCCAGAGCTGGCTGCATCTAGGCCTTCTCTGTGTGTGGTTATACTTGGCCGTTCCCCAGCTGTTCCACCCCAGACCTGGGCTGATCTTAGCCTTCCCAATGCAGGGTTATATTCAGTCATTCTTATCTGGTCCACCCCAGAGCTGGCTGCCTCTAAGCCTCCAGATATGCTGTTATAATCAGTTGCTTTTCCAGCTTCTCTACCCCAAGCTGGCTGCATCTCCATATGCATTATACACAGCCATTCCTCAGCTATTCCACCCCAGAGCTGGCTGCATCTCAGCCTTCCCTGTTATACTTAGGTTTTTCCCACTGTTCCACCCCAGAGCTGGCTGCATCTCAGTAGCAGACCACCCCTCCCTGCATGCTGTTCATTGCGGCTGATCTCTTTCAGAGCTAGTTGCATCTTGGCTGTAGGTGGCCCTGCCCAGGCAATGTTATACTTGGCCGTTTCCCAGCCACCCCACCCCAGAGCAGGCTGCATCTTGGGCTTCCCTTTGCATTGTTATAGTCAGCTATTTCCAGTTGCTCCACTCCAGAACTAGCTGTATCTTGGCCCTCCCTGTGCCCTGTTATACTCAGCTGCTCCCCAGCCATGCCACCCCAGAGCTGACTGCATCTCCCTATATGTTATACTCAGCTGTTTCTCATCTGCTCCACCCCAGAGCTGGCCACATTGCAGCCTCCCCAGTGTCCTGTTGTTCTCAGCCATTACCCAGCTGTTCCACTCCAATGTTGGGTGCAGCTCAGCCTTCCCTTTGCACTGTTATACATAGCCATTCCCAGCTACCTGGCCCCAGAGCTGGCTGCATCTAGACCTTCTCTGTACCCTTTTATACTGAGCTGCTCCCCAGCTACTTGACCTCAGAGCTGGCTGCATCTAGGCCTTCCCTGTGCCCTGTTATACTTGGCTGTTCTTTTCTGCTCCACTCCAGAGCTAGTTGCATTGCTTCCTTCCCTTTGTACTGTTACACTCAGCCATTCCCACCTACCTCACCTCAGAGCTGGCTGCAACCCAGTCCCAGATGAGCCCTGACTACATGGCCTTATATGCAGCTGTGTGCAAGCCAACCCACCACAGAGCTGGGTGTATCTTGGTCCCAGAGCAGCTCTCCCTACTTGGTTCCCTTGCTGCCCCACCTCCTCTCCTTGCTTGAACAGTGACTGCAGGAGGCCACGTGCAGCCAGCTCCGGGGCAGCTGGGGAAACCTGAGGTGCTGAGGGAGGGGGTCAGGGTAGGATGGAAAAGGTGAACCTGCCTCTCCACCCCAGCCTGTGGGGAGGTCACGGGGCCCTGAGTCTACAGGGAGGAACTGGAAAGATGAATGAGAGATGAATGAGAGAGGGTGACACGTGAGAGGGGAGCGGTGCCACTGGAAGCTGGGATGCTTGGGTTCTCTAAGAAAGGAGGGGGCCTTCTTATGTGGGGGATGCAGCCACCCAGGGCCACCAAGGCCTGTTGTTGTCATGGCAACAGTGGGGACATGACCCTGCTAGTCAGTGGGGGGTCAGACAATGATGTCACTGTGCGGCCACCTTACGGCCCCACCCTAAGGTGTCCCCATGCTGTCACGGTGTGCGGTGATGACCCCACAAGGCCACGTGGTTAAGAGGGCCTCGTGGGGGTTGGGGGCACAGCCCAGAGGGTGATGTCACGGGGCCACGGGTGATGTCACAGGGTAGCGTATGGGGGGGTGGGGCGAGTGATGCCATCATGTGCCACAGCGACGTCACAAAGAAGGGCAGAGACAAGACTGCAGGGGGCTAGGAACCCAAGTGACAACGCAACACCATGACTGGATGACGTCACCGCACCGCTCAGAGGTCAGCTGGCGCCGTCACTCCCCACCTCCTCCCCATTGGCTCCCTCCTCTAGGCCCAGACTTCCGATTGGCGGGAGCTGAGGGGACCGAGCCGTCCACCATTGGCCGCCGTCCGCCACGCCCTCCGCGCCTCCATTGGCCGTAACGCTACCCAAGTCCCGCCCCCTTCTGGTTCGGCGCGCCTGATTGGCTCTTGGCGCCGCACCGCGCCCCCTTGGCTGGCTGTTGCTGCCTGTGAGTGGACCCGGAAGCGCTGCCTGGGAGGCTGGAGCTGGGGTAGGGTGAGGGACAGGGTCACGTGGGGAGGGGGGGACCCGGGACTGACGTAAGGGGTGACCCACGTGGAAGGTACCCCGGGGCCATGTTGGGGTGGGAGGGCCGCTTCTGTGGGAGGGTCACGTGGGGGTTGGGGGGGCGAGGGTGAGGCAAGGGGGGGACCCCCTGGGCAGGGAAACACTGCTAATTTAAGGAGAGCCCAGGTAGTGACTGATTTGGGGGCATCCCAGGCCCTAGGTAGGGAGAGAGGTGTAAGGGCTGGTGGTTACCTCTGGGGTGATGTAATGGGGGACCCACCCCAGGGAGGGAATCCCAGCGATGATGGTATGGGAGGGGCTTACTGGGGGGGAGGGTAACTGTGGTGCCCCCAGGATGGCAGAGGGACACCTGTGTATGTGGGGTGTGGGGCATATCCATATGGTCCTATAGTGGAGGGGGCCTGCCCTCCCCTGATCTTTTGAGGGGCAGGGACTGGTGGTGCTAGGCTGTAAGGGCTGTCAGCTGGGCCCCACCCCAGAGCTGGCTGTATCTCAGTGCTGGGTGTTATACTTGGCCATTCCACCCCAGAGCTGGTGCATGTCTGCCTCCCCCATATACTGTTACACACAACCACCACAACCCCAGAGCAGGCTGCATCCTGGCATCGAAGGGTCTCTTCTTATGCAGTGTTATACTTGGCTATTCCCAGGCTTCCCACCCCAGAGCTAGGCACATCTCAGTCTTCTCCATGCCATGTTATACTTGGTCATTCCCCAGCTCCTGCATCCCAGAGCCCTCCACATCTCAGTTTCCTCATGTGCTCATATACTCAGCAGTCTGCAGCCACCACAATCCCAGAGCTGCCTGCATTCTGGTGTTGAGGGGTCCCTTCTTATGTGCGGTTCTACTTGGCCATTCTGCAACTGCCCTAACCCAGAGCTGGCCGCATCTCTGCCCTCTCTTTAGGGGCTCTAAAACAGAGGAAAGTCCTGGATTAGCCTTTGCACCAGGAGGGCTTCTCTGGTGTTAAGATGTGGCCATCTCTGGGATGGAGCAGCTGAGTATAATGCCTTGCCCAGCACAGAGATGCATTCAGCTCTTGGGTGGAACAGCTGAGTGTAATGCCACAGATGCAGGCTGTGCCAAGATGCAGCTAGCTCTGGGGTGGAATAGCTTGAGTATAACACTATACAGAGGCTGTACCCAGTGTAAGGTTGTAATCAGTTCTGAGGTGGAGCTGCTGGGGAATAGCTGACATGCTGTAGAGGGAGAGCTGAGTTGCAGCCAGCTCTGGGGTTCTGTATCTGGGGAAAGTCTGAGTATGGCACTGCATGGGAGGACTGAGATGTGGCCAGCTCTGGGGTAGAACAGGCTGAGTGTAACACTATATGCAGAGATTGCACCCAGTGTCAGGATGCAGTCAGCTCTGTAGTGGAGCATCTGGGGAACAGCTGAATATAACACTGCAGGGAAGGCTGAGTTGCAGCCAGCTCTGGGGCACAGTATCTGGCAAACATCTGAATACAACCCTGCTGGGGGATGGCCAAGATGCAGTCAGCTCTGAGGTGGGAACAGCCACATATAATGCCCACCTACCCCTGATAAGCTCCCCTGGCGGTGATGTGGTTTGGGACAGGAAGTGTGGCTCTGGGCCGTGGGACAGCATTTGCCCTGTGACTAGGACCACTGCCATGTGGGCGGGCTGGTCCAGCCAGCTTCTTTTTGTCCTATCCTGATGCCTGGTTTCTCTGAGAAGGGAGGGACAGCTAGGGGGTGAGAGTAGGGAGTGCTGGGAGCCAGGATGTATGGGTGCTCTGCAGAGCCTGGGACTAAGCACCACCCTCTGTCTCTCCCACAGGTGCTGCCTGGCATATGGGGATGGCAACCGGGGAGGAGATGGCCCCAACCCTAGGTGAGGCTCTGCCCCCATGGGGAGGTGTGGGGAGGGAGCAGGACTCTGGGGTGGTGGTGGGGGCAGGAGCTTGCCCTGTGGGGGGGCAAGGGTGTCTGGGGGAGACACTCTGGTGGGGGGGACTTTTACCAGCCTGATCACCTGGGGTCTCTTTCTTCTCTGGGGGAGAGGCGGCTGGGAGCCTGGATGCCTGGGTTATTTTTCAGTTTGGGTGTGGTGGGTCCCAGCAAGCATGGGGGTTGGGAGCCCAGACACCTGGGTACTGTTTACACTTGGGGAAAGGAGCAGGGCCTGGTGGGCTGGCTTCCTGGACACCTGGGTTCCCTCCTTCCTCTGAGATGGAAATGGGGCCCAACTACCTAGAGCTGGGATTGGGAACCCAAATGCCCGAGTTCTCTCCCTGCTCTGTGATAGGAATGAGGCCTGCCTGTGGGGCCTGGGAGCCTGGACTTCTATGTTCTCTTTCCTGTTCCTAGTGGGAAATGAGGCCTGGTTAGTTGGAGCAGGGGGTACTGGGAGTCCGGATACCTGGGTTCTCTCTCCACTCTGGGGAGTGGAGCCTGGTGGGATGGCTATCCAGGTTCTGTCCTGGATCTGTGATGAGTATGGGGCCTGGCTACTTACAGTGGCGGGGAAGGATGCTGGGAGCCTGGATTCTTTAGGAGGGAAGTGGGGCCTCAGGGGGACTGGGAGCCCGGATGCCCGAGTTCTCTCTCGGCTCAGGTCTGGTTACTTAGGGCAGGTGGAGGTTGGAAGCCCAGACACCTAGCTTCTTCCCCTGCCCTGAGATGGCAGTGGGGCCTGGTTTTTTAGAGCAGTGGGTAGGAAGCCTGGATGCCTGGGTCCCCCCTCACCTGTCTCTCTCTCCCCCAACACAGGTCCTGAGGAACTAAGTGCTGGCCTGGAGGAAGCAGCTCCTGGCTCCATTCCCAGCCCCAGCCCTGGCTCTGGAGCCTCTCGTGGGGTGGAGGAGGCTGGGGGCCCGGGCTGGCGGGCACGGCGCAAGCACGTGTTTGTGTTGAGTGAGGCAGGGAAGCCCATCTATTCGCGCTATGGCAGCGAGGAGGCACTCTCGGCCACCATGGGTGTCATGACGGCCCTCGTCTCCTTCGTGGAGAGTGGCCATGATGCCATCCGCTCCATCTGCTCTGGTATTGGCTGGGGGGCAGGGTAGAGGACACTGGACTGGAGTCTGGCCTGGGGGCACTAGGGTGGTGTGTGGGATATGGACTGGGGGACAGGGG